ATATTTTCTGAGTTTCTCACATACAGTGATGTAATTAAACTTCAGTATTGAAGACAAAACTTGCCCTTTTTTTTTGTAAACAAGCCCCTATTTTAAAAGTCCTTAAATGTTGGTTATTAAATTGACTTCTAAGATTTCATAATTCCTGCATCTATGTATGTAACAAAAGTTTTTTGTGTATGTATGAAGGAAACTGCAATCATTGAACTAATGAAAGCAGAAAAATCCTTAGCCTTGTTGGTGCTCAAAAAGTACATAATTTAGCTTGAAGCAAATTCTTGCTTACAAATCTCTGAACATAACAGAAAATGGAGTTAATCATTGGATGAAGCTGGGTTAACTTGAGTCTAAATGCCTAAACCAGCAATCTTTCATTTTGTGAAAGAAGTAAAAGACAATGACACTGATTTGTAATTGGAGATTAAGGAGTGCTGCAGATTCAGGCTGTTAAGGTAGCTTCATTTCAATGGTTAGGCTAATTTTCCAAGTGTTTTCTAGTTAAAAGCATCTGAAACTCTTAAGCAGAACTTCTATCATACTTCTGAATAAAAGCTCCCCTTTCCCCTTTTCTGAAATAAGAGGCGCTATTTTGGCTTTAGGGCTTTTTTCTGCTTACTACTCAAGTACCTCTGACCATGCTGTAATTAACTAAACAGTAAATTAAATATTATCCCTGGTGGTGGTGAGGTGGTGGTAAGATGAGGTGGTGGTAACTTAAGACCCAAACTGGATCAGAGTAAGGAAAGTGAGTAAGGAAATTAGGCAGTTTAAATCCATGTTATTTTGCCATAAAGCTAGAACAATACCAGTGAAACTTAATTTTTGATTACTTAATGCTGAAAAAATAATTTAAAAAAATGTAATGGAATCTGATAATTTGTTGCTCATCATGAACAATTTTATGTGAGGAGGCAGTTCTTTATGAAAAAAAAAAAATGAATCAAGCTCAAGGAGTACTTTAGATTTTTAATGTGGAAATAGTACAGAAAGGTAGGTAGTCCACAGAACCAGAAATAAAAGGATGGTATGCACTAAATCCTCTGAAAGACAACTACTGTGTTACCGCCACAGTTTATCCCATCTGGTATGCAGTGACTTCCCACCCCGCTCCCCACCTCCCCTGTCCGTCTGTCCCCATAGTCTGACTGCGTGATTCTGTGAACTGCTTACCATATTATTTATACTGCTTTAAATGGAAAATTAGATCTAAAGTACTACATTATGGTCTATAAATTATTATTACATAGCATGAAATGAACATGAAATTTGCTTGTTTGATAGAGAGGACATGCAGCTTATTAAAAATCAAGGTTGGTCTTCATGCACTGAATCACTGGGTTCTTTTATCTTTTCAGATGGCATGACTCATACTTTCAACAACAGAGTAACTCAACTGTTGTAACTGATCCTTTCTGTGTTGAGAGCAGAGAAGGGGTAACAGTGTACGAAATCAAGAAAACTTAATAGCATTACAATATCAATGCATGATTCTATCTAAAGAAGAAAAGTGGGATGACTACATTTTAAATTTGGCCATCTTTGTCTTAACTGAAACACTGGTAAGAATCATCTTAGTTACAGGATCAAGGCCGTGATAAAGAAAAAATAATTTAGCCATTTTGCAATGTCTGCAAGTGTACTGCTGCAACCAAGCGTCAAAGATTTTTGCAAGATAGCTGGTTCAAAACCAGTGGCAATTTCTCCATCTGTTCCACTTATTTTTATCTTCCTCCTTTTCCTCGCCTGCTCTGAATTTTCAGAGTATAAAAGGAAAGGTCTATTGATCATGGGTTTGCTCTACTGCTAGGAGCTATCACTAGTCTGAGTTAGGATCTGGTAAAGAATTCACACTGTAGGATCTGGAGACTGAGACTAAGACTCTGCAAGTGTTATTTAAAGAATGTCGCTTCTGTTTCCAGTAAACTCGTAGATCTTTCTCTGCATGATGCCACAGTTTGTTGATGAAAGAAATATTATTGCTGGAAATGGCATTTTTCAAAAGCAAACAATGCAGCTTTAAAACCTGATTTTGTTTTTTTATCAAATAAAAAATGGTATTTAGAAGCTGATTATTAAAAGCTTAATATGATCTTTATGCCCTTGGAAGTCTCTTTACCTTTGTAACTGTACACGTACATTAGCTAAGGCTTTACTTAAGACAATCTTTTAATACAGTGATCTAGCATTTAGTTTTCTTTCTTACCTGTACTGTCCTCAATGAAGATTTTAAGGAGCCAGTTCTTTGCAGGGGTGACTTTGAATTTGCACGAACTATGTCTAAGCGAGATTGATAGTCTGGTGGATAAAGTGAGCTCCGAAAAACCTGTTCAAATGAAAGCTGTGACTTGGGTGCCATGATATAGCTTGCAAACTAACAATCATCAAGACTGAAGCTAACAAAATGCAGCACTGGATAATTAAACCTGCTCTAGAGAACTGCAACGGTTTCCCACCAACATACGTAGCTGACTTTCAGGTGAACCTGGAGGTATGAACGCCAGCAACTCCCTTCAGGTTCTCCATTTCTTGGAGAGATGAACTCTTAGCGCATTCACAAGCAAATCCTTGCTGCCAGTCGCAGCTGCATCAGAGAAATTTTATCTGAAATGTCCAGGAGCTATGCAGCTCAAGAAAAATTTGGGAAAACCCTTATAACACAGGGGAGACCATAATATCCGTTATATTTACAAGTTCTTTCCAATAGCCAAAAAGAGTAAATTATAAGACTAACAGCCTGATACTAAAGTAATAAATCTATTTGTGCAAGACTTTCTTAATAAAGTCAAGGAAGATGTTAGAATTACGGTCAGTCAACATTTTTTTGGAAAGTAAATTAACAGAAAATTTAAAAAGAGATTATCTTTCACAACCAAATTTCTAAAGTATTGACTTAATTTTGAATTGGTGCCACATGACACTTTAATTGTGAAACTAGAAGAGTACAAAATTGCCATGAAGTAGTTTAAACGAAGTAAAAAACCCAAGTAGTCTCAAATGTGACTGTCACTGAAGAATGATGATTTCGTATGCCTCGACTAACTGAATACTGCCATCCTTGGTCCTGAGCTATGTCATGGAAAAAACAAAATTGGGACTCATAAGATTTACAAAAACACCACCAAAAATGATAATACTTTCTAGACAAGCTGAACACGTATACACAGCCCACATTTCAATGATAGTAAGTTTAAAGGCCCAACATCCAGAAAATCTGCAAGAATGAATAAAGGACTGAAAAACACGTCTTGGGAAAGAGAGACTATAACTCAAAGAGAACAGAAAGCGTGACTTGAAAGGAAGCTATAATTGCCAGAAGGCACAAAAAGCAATTTGGTAGCAAATGTCTCTTAATTCTATAACAGCCTAATAAAAAACAATGATTGAAAATGAAAACAAGCATACAAAACTCAGACTAGAAAGGAGAGAGAGATTTTTAATGAAGTAATCAGTCTTTAGAACATCTTATCAGAGCAGTGTAAGATTTTCTCTTATTGTGCATCTTTACAGTGAGATCCACTGCAGAGGTGCTCTTTAAGAACTACGCTTAGCTGAGCTTGGAGTGACAGTTAATTTAGGAAAAGGCTCTTATCTGTATTTTGTGGCAAAGATTAGATTGCCAGTGCAGTTGTTCTCTGTTTTTAAAATCTCTGAGTTTATAAACCTACATGCTCTTGCTGAAGAAGTGTAAAAAAGGGCTTGGTATACATTAGAAGTTTGTTCTGGGAACCTGAAACATATATTGCATTTTCAGCCTGGGACACGTATAGCCGCAAAGTGTGAAAACTATTTTTATGTAGTAAGTAAATTGAAAAGCAAATCTTAATCACTCTTACCTCTAAATCTTCGTTTTCATCAATATTTTGGATATTTTGGTAGGCAGCAGTATATATCTCTAAAGCTTTCCCATGGAATAACATTTCAATAGTTATAAATTCAGAAAATATGTTCTAAAAGCAAACGCAAACAAAGGTTTCCTTAATGCAGTAAAGTACATTTCCACTTCAAATACAAGAAATTACTGAATTCTGTACTTGCTATTTATATGATACAAATAACTGCACAATACCTAGTAGTTTTAAGTAGTCAAACCTGAATGTTAGAAATTAAACATAAATACTGTCACTTATGCAGTTGTCATTTCATACTAAATTCTAAGTAAATACCTGAAAAACGAGGAGGAGCCTCATTAGGAATAAATAAAACTGTGATGCCAAAAACTCACTTAATATTCCCTGATACATATTCGCAAGATGTAGTCAGTGGATTTTTGGTTTATTGATGGCAATTCTATATGTATCTATAACTTACAGATAATTATCTATTTTATATAATAAAATATTTTTTATATATACAAAAACATTTAATAATGACATCTTCAGAACTCACACAATCTTTTTCGTATTACTCTAACATCAAGTACTGGTTGGTTGGTTGGTTGGGTTTTTCAGTCATCTTTCATGCTTTCCTATTTAGTCTGTCTTTTTTGGGGGTTTTTTTGGGGTTTTTTTTTTTTTTTTTTTCAATAAAGTATCTGTATCTCACTTCAGCAATTTTATAATTACATTTGAGATCACATAATGCAAGTGCTTTTCAGTGACTATAGTCTTTGGGACTTAAGCCACTTACTGTTTGACATTGAGAGAGAAATGAAAGCTTTGCTTACCTGCAGTCACTGAACGTTTTGCGCTTTCTGCATCAGTAAAATTTTTAACTACAGTAACCTACACAAATTTCAGCATGGATAAATATTTTATTTACTTACCACTATTTCTGTTAATTTTGCTGATATTAATCCACATATATAATTCCACTAACAAATGCAGCTACCAGTGGAGTAGAATACAGCAACTGTTAGAAGGTGCAGACGCTAAACAATCTGATACAGGGAAATTCTGAATTCAATAAACTGTAAGAATAATTAACTGGTTTTTTAATTGCAAAGTTCATGATATTTGGATTACGAAACGTTTGTGAATTCCACAAGATTTGTATTTATGTAGGCTTAAGTTAATACTAAATGTTGTTAATCTTGCCAAAGAGTGAGTATAGTAATTTTGTTATGCAAGATGAAATGTGATGTCATGTATTGAAATGTGAGCACACATACTTTTATGTCCTTTATTTTCTGTTTCTCAAAATTATCGATGGTTTCCTCTAATTGCCGAGTTGTTCGAGTTGCGTCCAGTGAAGCTCTCTGCAATTCACTTTCAGCCTGGTAAAGTAACACAAAGGTGAAATTAGTCCTGTATTTGATACAAAGATATTTACTCGTGATTGCCATGAAGACATTTAAGTCTGGGTTTTCAAAATACTACACATCTGTGTTACTGTATTTGTAAATTTGTTTGTAGCTTAATAAACAAATAGATGCCTTCTATACCATTGTGACTTTGATCTAAAACATGAAAAATTACTAGCTGCAGCCAGTTGGGAAAGTCCCACTGCCCTAACCCGTTTTCTGTAATAATCATCTGCTAATTCCACTGAACCAGCCCTGACACTCCACTGACGACACAGTGACTGGGTTCAAGGAACTCACCCAGCACACGGGTTTTACCTTTCAGAAAAGTTAGGGTTTTTTAAAGCTAGTGTAAAAGAGAGGGCAGAAGTGCACAGGCCAGAGTGGTGGATGAGTGGAAAAGATCACCCTTTATTTTCAAGTGCAGATCAACCTGCTGGGTCTAGAACAAATCTTTTCCAGTGTCATGTGCTGAACCTTGTCTTACTAAGTTTTTATAAATTATTTAAATAGACAACAGAGCAGCAGCTGGAACTAATGCACTTCTCCCATAAGTATCTCAAACAGCAGACTAGAGTTAATATAATTTTAGATCCAAAAGCATTTCAGGTATTTTATATTTGTAGTATTTTTATATTATTAAAATATTTTATAAAAAACATCTTCAAGAGAGCACTGGGAATGGGGACACACCAACCAATCATAGAATGGTTTAGGTTGGAAAGGACCTTGAAGATCATCGTATTCCAACCCCCCTGCCATAGGCAGAGACACCTCCTGCTAGACCCGGTTGCCCAAGGCCACATCCAGCCTGGCCTTGAACACCTCCAGGGATGGGGCCTCAACAACCTCTCCGGGCAACCTGTTCCAGTGCCTTAGAACCCTCAAGGTAATAACCTTCTTCCTTATGTTTAATCTAAACCTGCCCTCTTCCAGTTTAAAGCCATTCCCCCTCGTCCTATTGCTACATGCCCTAGTAAAAAGTCCTTCCCCAGCTCTCCTGTAGGCCCCCTTTAGGTACTGGAAGGCCACCAGAAGATCTTCCCAGAGCCTTCTCTTCTCCAGGCTGAACAGCCCCAACTCTTTCAGCCTCTCTTCATAGGAGAGGTGCTCCAGCCCTTGGATCATCCTCGTGGCTCTCCTCTGGACACGCTCCAGCAGGTCCCTGTCCTTCTTATGTTGGGGACTCCAGAGCTGGATGCAGTACTCCAGGTGGGGTCTCACAAGAGTGGAGTAGAAGGGCAGAATCACCTCCCTTGACCTGCTGGCCACAGTTCTTTTGATGCAGCCCAGGATACATAAATACACAGCTTTTCTTATTTTGTTACTACAAAATATTTTAGATACGTATTTTAGATATAACTATGAACTGTATTTAAATAAAGATATTGAAGCTATTCTGGTTACATAAAGTTTAAGAACCTTGCAATATTATAAAATAATGATGTAAAGATGTAAGAGCTTGCACTTGAAGACTGCAAAATTTGGGTCTGAACTTACTTTATTTTCCAGACGTTACTGGTCAAACATTATAGACTAGCCAACACGGTATTTACTTACAGGCCCTGTCATTGAGGATCATCAGGAATCTATTCTGTCCTGGGATTTGGAAATAGTATATGGATCAAGTAATTGTATCCTACGATCAAGACACAGGATTCTTCCCATTTCTACAACACTGCAACTTACTAGAGGAAGTTGTTTGTTTGGTTTTTTTTAAAAAATGGAAATAGACACCACAGATCGAGTTCCCGTGATCTATTTTTTAGTGTTATACGTATATGGAAACCTAAGGCATAAGGCATGCTCTGTTACTTCTTTTTCTTTGATTAAAGTCTGGTAACCTTATATTACAGGATTGTCAATTTAAAACAATTACCTTACAAAAACGGCTTAAAGTCATAGACACAATTCCGCCATTACTGGGCAAACAAAATTGGTAATAACTTTTAGTACTACATAAGGTCACATTTTATCTCCCTTTCTTGATTTTGCACAAAACACAGGAAGGAAACAGAGTAAGGAAATACATTTTGTGTATTCTCAATTATTACAATTAGTCACTCTCTGTAAATGAAGGCAGCTGTTACACATAAGCAGCCATTACACATACAAATACAGTATGTTATTTCTATGATAATAAACTGTATCTTCTCGATCCATGCTAAATAGACTGGCAAGATTTTGTGTGCAGATGCTTTGGGAAAGGAGTTTTGTTTGTTGTAGAGTGAAATGTCTAAACTTGCAGAACCTGGATAGTTCACAGAACAGCAGTTTGGTATTTTCTCTTCAAAAACACTCACCTGTGACTGGAAATATTAGTAAAGGAAAAAATGGGAAAATAACAATTAATATTGATAAAATAATCTGTTTTCACTTCTACTTTTAATATATTGTGAAGGATTTACCTCAGATATTTCAAAACTTCTGTATACTTGGAAAGTGCTATTATTATGTTGCCTGAAGCTTCGTGCTTAAGACATTACTTACAGTTTGTTATAGCTTTGCTAGAGTTCAAATATCCAGGCAAAAATATTTCTGGACAGCTGTTTGTCTTGGACTGAGGGTTTGGTTATTTATTTATTTATAAAAAAAAAAAGAAATAAAAAAAATTCTAGGTAGACCACTTCAGAAAAAAAATATCAATTTTGGCATTTTTATATTTTAAAAAAAATTAAGTAAAGTTTTCTTTTCAAAGCTGTACTACCCTGTTTTAGATAATGGACCAGCTGTTTTCTTGGACTGAGGGTTTGGTTATTTATTTATTTATAAAAAAAAAAAAAGAAATAAAAAAAATTCTAGGTAGACCACTTCAGAAAAAAAATATCAATTTTGGCATTTTTATATTTTAAAAAAAATTAAGTAAAGTTTTCTTTTCAAAGCTGTACTACCCTGTTTTAGATAATGGACTTGAAATGTGGAAGTGAGTCTGTGGCCACAGTTGCTTGCTGCTAAAACATCACAGTTGCTCAAGAGTAAGAGAACCACTGCTGGAGCCTAACAGCTGTGCTAATCGAACATGGTGAAGCCTCTCTCAGACCTAAAAGCTAAGCTGCATACATCCTCAAAAGCAAATGAACATATTCCTGCTCCCAATACTTTTGATGCATTTTGTGTTGATCACTTTAAAATGCAAATACATAGCATTTGGTGCCTTTGGCCATATGCAAAACCAGACTGTACTGAGATTTAATAACTCTTCAAGCAAAGTCTTAAGTACAGAAAACACAGGTGTTATAAGAAGCTAAGCCACAGAAGGATATTTGGGAGTAGCTCAGCAAAAGACAAGAAGAAACAAGCTAGGTGCCAGCCATATACCCATGAAATCAACTGGGAATTAGCACAAGAGGGAGAAAAGTGGGACCAGTCTCCCTTTGGAGAGAATAGTTTACTGTTATCATTTACTCACTTAATTCTAATGGAAGAGAACTCTGCATCACAGCTCAAGTTCCAACCCTACGGCTGACATCCATGTGTCTTTATTATATGAGGAACTCTTAATTAATCATCACTTGATGTAACCGATTTGATCAATATTAAATGGGAATTCTTGGGCAGAGAGCATTTGACCATCACAATCATTTTTGCTCTTTCTGCAGTCCTATGCGCCAGTCACTAGAAACATCCCAATTTCTGAAAAAAATTTAATGATATCTTACAAAGAATAGGACTTCTTCACTTGAGTCCAATGCTAGAGTGTTAGAAAAAATAAACAGCATATCATCATCATGAACTTAAATGCTGTATCATAATACATAAGCATGAAGTCGCTGAAGTAGGATTGCCTTGATCATCTTTTGTTTTGGCATTTCCTAGATTCTGATTGCTCCAGAATTTGAAACTTCAGTAAGATTTTAATAGAAATTCTATGAAGGCTTAATTTTTCCCCTCTGTGATACAGAATAGCATACTGGGAAGAGTCACTGGTATTTTGAAAGGATGAGTAGTCTGATTGAGTATTCTACTAACAGAATAACAACTTTTCCTTTCACACTTCATCTCACAACTGGAGGAAGCTCATGGCCCATCTAGGTACAAGGAAGCACATCAACTACCAAAATAACAGGGAGAACAAAAATCCACAGAAGTAAAAAAGGAGTTGTCTGATTACACTTATCTTCAAAAATCTCCAAATTCCTAGATGCAATCTATGCCTACCTCTCTGGCATAAACATATCAAATACTTCCTAGTTGCTTTTCAATCAAAAAAGGGAGCAAGTAACAAAGCAGCTATTATAAGCTGTAACTCATCACAAAGTTTAAGAAAAGATTCAACATCAATATAGGAATTAGTCCCTCTAAAGAGCATTCTTCTCTTATTACTTTCTAAACACAATAGTTTAATTCCTGAGAAATTCTAAAAATATTTCTTATAGCCACTAGAAATACAGGATACAATAATGTGTCGATCTGATGGATTCCGCTGACGTGTCTTTTCCAGTTGAGATAATTGCTTGGCTTCTCGGTTCTTTGCTGTTAAAGTTGCTTTAAGATCATCCTGGAAATAAAATGTTTCAGACATGTTTGAAATAGATCTAGGATAATAGAAAATGCACTTTGCCTCACACATGCATTGCCTAGAAAACATGAACAAAACTTCTTTAAACAAAACCAGGTTTTACTGATCCTATCCTGCTAACTGATCCCCTGAAAGAGAAGTCAATGGGGACTGTGAGAGTTTAACACCTTGCACAACTCTGTAGCACACATTACAATTTAAAATGGGGGGAAAAAAAGAAGATATCTACAGCTTTACATTAAAAGTACAGTAGATGGTCGAAAGCTGAGATTCCCAAAGCAGTAAGAAGACAGGCCCGTTCCAAGCTTAGCGATGGAATAAAGGTGGCATTCGAACTAAAAAGCGGCATCAAATAAATTGGTAAGAAAAAAACCAAAACAGGCAGCAGTCAGTACCAATCAGAGGTTATGAAGAACACAAAACTGCTACACAGAGCTTAAGGTGCCATAGAAAATCCATGACTGAAAGGGTTAAACTGCATATTTATATATGCAGTTAGTAAGGGGTTTAAATACATTTGGAACAAAATACATCCTAGTAATGATGTAGCTGGACAAGATGAAACTTATTGATATAGGAAAGGCAGAAACTGTTGATAAATATTCTTGCTCCTCATTTCCAAAGGAGAAGTAGGATGTACTTCTAGGAAGATCTGTGACAATTTAAGAATATAAGAACATACCACTCTCAAATTCTTGTTCATGCTATAAAACTGTATTTTGCAAATAGCTTGGCATACCTGGAATCTAAAATTGTCAGTCAGATATCTATCACTCCATTGACCCTGGTATGGGAAATTACATTCATTTTGATGGCTCTAATGTCAAGAAGCAGTACCTTAGAACAAGCAGAAATACAGCCCAAAGGAATAAGTCTAACAAAATCTGAGGCAGGAGCTGGGCATGCATTTCAAACCATCTTTTCCTCTAAAAAGACCAGTTCCCATTTATATACTACTCCAGAATGGAGTGGATTAAAGCTAATTTTTAGTCAATGACAAGCACAAGCATGCCAAGGTTCAGAGTGCCGTGTCTTCAATAACGAGTCTGTACATGAGCTCAGGATCAAAAACATGCTGTTTCTTCGTTGTTTCTATCCTTAGTCTGTTTGTATGTCCTTGTGTATATGACTGTCATTTTGCTACGTCTTTAGCGACACAGAGCTGGTTTCTGATAATAAAAACTGTATTTTTAGCCCATTAAAACTAATTTTGCTGCTATTCTTTCAAAGGGAATTTACACCATCTTTAAGGCCATCTGAAAGACTGCTGGAAAGGGCTTCCTCCTTTATGAAAGCCATGCAGCTGCAAGAAAATAATAGGGAAAATTTTTTTAATGCTTTACATCTTTAATTTTAAATTAAAGGTAGAGAAAGAGAAGAGAAAAAAATATTTATTTTTTACCATAGAACAAAGCAGGTTTGTATCTAATGGTCACAGCTGCATGTTTAGTGTTATTTAATGATTGGCCCCTGTTAACATCACTGACTTTCTAGGCCCATTTAAAACGGTCAATCAGATTTAACGTTGTGGCTGAAAGGGTGCTGACTTTCATGCAAAGTATACTTGAGAATACTAAGGAAACTGCTAGAGTTACCATTAAAAAATTCAGGTGTTTTTTTTCCTAGCATAGCGACTTTAGAAATAACTACAGGGACTGCACTGTTCCCTTTTCTACCTCTGTTCCCAACAGCCATCACACTTCTCTGGGCTAGACAAAGCCTGACAAAGATTTGGTGCTACTGTGGCTACAGAGGTGGAGCTGTATACAAATTCTAGATGTACAAGGATAGGGCAGTTACATATATATTTTCTCTAGGATGTTGAAAAACTGAAAATGGCGCTGAAAAAAACATTAACAAAATATTCAAAAGCTGGGGAAAATGCCATTATGGTGAAAAAAGTAAGGTCTACATTTTTAGCTACCTGAAATGAATGAAAAAACGTTTTACTAGCATCTAAATACCTTCATCCAGAAAGAAAACAGAGCATCACAGAGCTTTTTAATCTCAGTGGAACATCTAACAAGAAGCAAAGATTAGGTGGTCTTTCATTTAAAACAAAACACCACAAACATCAACTAACTGCTAACTACCACAAACAGTCCTATATTCCCCTCCAGCGTTTTCAGACCAAGATTTGGTATGTTTTTGGAAAACGTGCTTTAATTACACCCAAGGAGAAATGGGATGGAATGTAATAGCCAGTGAAATAAAGGACAGATACAGAGAATATAAAATTATTCATAGTCCCTCTGGCTTTAAACTATGAATTCAAGTCACACATAAGAACTCCGCTCAGACATCTAATTTCAAACCATAGAGAAGTACAGCTACAGTCCATCCACCAGACAATGAGCTGGCAGATCCTCATCACTGTACTGTTACCTGCTTTAGTCACTGAAGTTATTAAAGCAAACCAGTCCTTTCTTCTGCAGGTGGATCACCTTGGTTTTGTGATGTCCTGTTTTATATGCAGAAAAGGAACCAGGAACAGAGTTGCCAAAAAGCAGAAAAGGGAAGATTGATATATAGAACAATGGAACAGAAAGAAATCTTCAAATCTTACACTGAAGCTGCATTACAGGAAAAGAATGTTATAGTAGGTTCCACCGAAGCTGCCAAATCCTGCTCCAGAGAGCTACTCAGAATAGTAAACCAAGACATGTGAATGAAACAATTTTGTTTCATTAGCAGTTAAATGACAGCTCTGCTCTGATTGACTCGGGCCTCTTTAAAGCATTTAGTATCACAGGACATTGATGTCTTACCCAACAGAAACAGTAACAGTTCTTTTTAGATACAGCACAAAACCAGTTTGTGTACACCCTGGAGCAGATCCAGTGAGTAGCAGTGAGAACATCCCCTTTATAGAAAGTGCTATGACATATTCTGCCTGGTTTTACTTAATCAGCTAATGTAGTTACAGGTAAAGCAGTCTTACAACTAGCACCCTGTGTTAGCTTTACATAAGTGAGTGACAAAACTTCCTTTTTCACTAAAAATGTCCCAGTGTCTCAGGATGATAACTGTAGACTAGACAGTTGAAGTTTTAACCAAGGTCTATGGCAATGGATAGGGGGTTGGAAATCATTTAATGGCATACATCTTTCATGAAGTGTCTCTTAGTTCAAAGGTAAATAGATAAAATAGTTAATCCCACCTACAGTTTAAGAATGCTTTTGTACTCCTCACTAACCAAGATAAACATTATGCAATGCTTTCTGGCATTGTGAACGGCAAAGACCACAGGAAATGCCATTCTCTGTTGCAAGGGATGACCCGGCTTCAGTTGCTTCTGTCCTCAGCATTTACTGAAGACATTTACTATCTGCAATGCTTTGGAAGCCCCAAGCGCTCCTGCAGTGTTGTCTGTGTCTCCTCAGAAACACATGAAACTTGTCTTCCACCCTCAACATTTATATCCTGTAGAATACGCTCGGTCAGTTCTACGTCTCACAAACTGGGTTTCAGAGCAACTATTAAAATACCCAATTCTAGGATACAGGCTCTATAGTCTACAACTCTGCTAAGGACTACCACGTGTTGTACCACTCAAGTGCAGGATGCATTTCCTTCATGATTGTTTCTCTAATAACCAAGTGAGATAGCTATGCAGTAAGTTCTGAACACTGTACTCGCTTCTTCACTATATTGAAAAGATGCAAGAACAAAAACAGACGAAAAATGCTTCAGTTTGAGGGGCAATGCTGCAACGTGCTCAAATTAACCATGATGAACATGCTGTAAGATTTTTCTATATAAAATACCAGCAAATATTGATCATTTTACCTTTTGATTTATACGGATTACAATACATACATCGATTACAGATTTGAGTTTACAGGATGAAGGTAACCTCTATATAATATACAAGTATTACGAAGAACTGCTCTCATTCTATAAACTAATATCTGCTTGTTAAAATTTACTTGCTCAAGCTATCCCTCTTGGAGGAAAGAAATTTACAGATATTTTGTCAGACTATTTCAAAACCCTATATACACTGTTTCCAGAATATAGGCAATGAAGAGATCTCATTTTTTTGTGTATTTTCAGGTCATCCTGACGACTTTGCAGGACAGAGAGGGATTCAGGACACTACCTACTTATCCGTTTCAAAAAGTGTCTTCTGCATTATGAACTTCAATGTAGAATACAATTCTAAGTTACAAAAGCTGTTAAAGGCAGCATGTAGATGATTAAGACCCAAAGGCATTACAAATAATCGACCTTTTGGAACTCTGAATAATAATAATGATGATAAATGACAGTATTTATAAATAAATACATCCTGAATTTGCACTATCCAGGAAGTTTCACACTATCCACAACGCCTTTTTTTAGCAAGTGCTTGTGCTCCAAGAATCTGACTATCCTTGTCTTCACATCAAAGCTTTTCTCTCCAACATATATACAGCTCCAACTCATGTATTACTGTATAATTTAGTTAGACCAATAAGAAAAATGAGAACTGCTCTCCCCTGCAAAGTAGAAGTTTTGAACTGAGTGGCCAGAACACCAAAATGTACCTTGTGGGAAAACAGATGCTTAACCTACCCTTTTAAGTTTCACTATGGTCCCGTAACTTTTCAGAGGTTCAACAACCTTAGCTTCAAGCCTGTCAACCTACAAAAGAAATCACATTGTCATTAAAATCATCTGCATCTACATTGTGCAGAAACAGGAAAAAATTAATTTACTAGTGACTCATCTTATTAGGAATTTAGTCCATATATGCTGAAAATATAGCAGGATGGAGGTTTTAAAAATATTGCAAAAAACAGAGTCAATTAAATTAACCAGTGAACCATTTGTATTTCGAGGAGCTCAAGCTGATTTCTAGTGAAATGCCTCTTTTTTTCAGTGGCAAGACATAAGGATAAATAAAACATGGAGATTCTAACAATTGCGTATTTACTGCATCTTAGATATCTGTAGCTTTCTAACTAAAGATAAAGATCAATGTATTTGCTCTATACTTGTTGATAGATTATGGACTAAACTGTCTTTGCTATCAAACATACTGTACGAAATGTAACACTACTGTTCCTAAAAAGAATGGAAATGGCATAATAGGTGCTGAAAATATGAAAAATACCAGTAACAGGTTGTGTAAAATGCATGAATGCTCTCACAGATGAGTACATCTGAATTTTGTTTCAGTTCTCCTAGTTAGAAAAACAGCCACATATGGTCAGACAGGCAATAGGATAAGACCTGCCTGCTTGTCAAATTGACAATACTGCCCAAGTGGCCACGGCATAAGCTGCTGCTGACTTTGGACCATCTGGCCCATCACCATTATGTCCAAATTAGGACAAGGTGCATACCTCTACTGGGAAGGGACAGACATTACACTCCCCTCTAAATTGGAAGTCACCAGTCAGCCAAAATCTATGCTGACTGAGCAAACATTTCTCCTTTACTACACTCTACGAGGGCACTGTCAAACAATTTCACTTAAACCACCAATAGAATAGAATGGAATAGGGCAGTAAGGCTCTAAATGAAACACACAATGTAGACATACCAAATAACCTGTCCATCTTGCTTACTTACCTTTCCACATGTTGTGAAAGTACCTCACACCTCAGCATTTATATATCTAGCACTGCAGCTGAAGACCAGAAATCGATAACCCTCATAAGCCAATTTTCTCTTGCCCACATTGTCAATACATATGAAAACTTAATTAACCTATTGCCCAAAAGAAATAAGGCTGAGATTAACTATTTGGTTTTCATGAGCAAAGGAAAACTTGATTTAAAAGGCTAGAAGCTTCTCTTTTCTTTTGCTTATTCTGCCTTTTCTCCTTCAAAGGGAAATAGTGGGTTGGGGACAGGCATGGTAGGAGAATATAGGCCCACTACCAGTTTTTAAAAACACACTTAGAAATCGAAATATGATAACTCAAGTTGTTACGTAGGTACCTCTAAATTATAGATTCATAGTTTAAAGGTGAAAATGGACTGAGAGATCACGCAGTCTGATTTCACGTCCATCTTTGGCCATAACAGAAATTCACCCTATTAACAGAGCGATAAATAACTGTTATGTCAATTAGAATCATAGAATCGCTAACGTTGGAAGGGACCTTTAAGATCATCAAGTCCGACCATCAACCTACCCTGACAAAGCCACCTCTAAGTCATGTCCCTAAGCACCACATCTACCCTTTTTTTAAACACCTCTAGGGATGGAGAATCCACTGCCTCCCTGGGCAGCCTATTCCAATGTCTAATAAACCTTTCGGTGAAAAAATGTTTCCTAATATCCAGTCTAAACCTCCCTTGACAGAACTTGAATCCATTTCCTCTTGTCAGATCACTTTTCACCAGGGAGAAGAAGTCAGCCCCCACCTCTCTACAACCCCCTTTCAGGTAGTTATAGGGGGTGATAAGGTCTCCCCTCAGCCTCCTCTTCTCCAGGCTAAACAACCCCAGTTCCCTCAGTCGTTCCTCAACTGAAGCATAAGGACCTATGTGTGGCTCACCTGGAGTCAGAGGCATAAAAGCTTATGGTAAAAGATAAAAATCACACCATCCACACCCTTGGATTTCTTATTACTTCTTAAAAACTTCAGCCTAAATACACTGTTGCAGATCCATGCATATTCCTTGTTTTTCAAACCCTCTACTTAGTAGACTAGATACCTCATAGATTAACTTTTTTTAAAAGGTCGTCTTTTTCTTCTTCATTAATATAGAAAGACTTGCAATGAAAAGTCCTGTCTGAAAACATCAAGAATGTCAACTACCTTCTTCGCATTTTTAATTTATAATAGTTCTTAGCTTTTCAAAACTATAAATGGGAATTTTCTATGCCCTACTGAAAGAATAGATATGTACTCCAAAAACTAGTTAGAGTACATGTGAATGAATTTTTTTTTTTTAAAATCTCAGCATTTGAGATTCTGCATCATAAATTACAGTTTGACTGGCCCCGCACATAGATGTGTAAGTGGCATAAACACCTTTCTTTACTCAATTATCTAGTAGAAATGTGACTATATTGTCACATGTCCAAATCAAGTTTGTACTTTTCACGTTGAACTACAGACTTCTGAAATCTACAGTGGTCCCTGACAGCACCTCAAAGAGGCTGTCAATGCCCAGTGAAGGATTCCAGTTAGTATTTTCTTCCATACTGCTTCTGATAACAGACTCGGCAAAAGGAAAATGACTGATTTTACCTCAGCTGCTGCTAGACAACTCAAGTCACAAAACTAAAAGCAGACTTTATTAACCATAAATCATAATCCAAAGTCTAAGACCAAGAAAAGACTTGCTCTGTCTCCAATTCTGTGGGTGCTCATATGGATAGTTTCACTGACTTCAACAGGACTAATCACAGGCAGTTTTCACTAAAGTTATTAGCAGAGTAAAAGTTGAGTGTTTTGGCAGCCTATCCTGCTCTGCCACTAATATATTTAAAAGTGGTTTCTCCCATGTTTCTCTCATGATTGCAGAATATATCTTTTCCCTTTTAATCACAGATAAGTAACTGAAAAGTTCAGATGGCAAACACAACATGTACAGCTTTAATTTTGTACCTCTGCCTGGCGATAATCCTGAAGTCTGGAAAATTCATCTGCAAAGTTTTTCAGTCCAACTTTTAAGTTTGGTGTCTCTGTGGCTGCATATGCATATATTTCATTTACTAGAAGATCTGCTTTGTCTCGTAGTCTGGCAGTTTTACGTACATATCCAGCAAATATTTGGCACAATTCACCAAAATGTTTTTCCACATTTGAAACAGCATCTCGTATTTGTCTAGTCTGATTGTCCCTAGATACCAAAGAAAAATAAGTGAAGAATAAGAAGGGGACAAATGTTTACAACACATACCGAAGAAAAACTATTATACTACTAATATTTTATACGTGATTTGGACATCTCATTTCAGTGCAAACCAGAAATCTACTCTTTAAAAGATTGTATTGTAACAGTCTCATGTAATATGTGCTTATTTATGAATGAATAACAAAGAAACTAAAAAAGCAGGAATTATAAGATCCAATAGTGGAAAACTTAAATCACAAAAATCAGCTCAGAAGTTTTCCTCCTGTGGTTAAGCAGAAGCTTGCTATTACCGTTGGTATTAATTACTAACAGTGGTAACACCTGCAGGTCTCAAACAAGACTGGGTCATACAGTTTCCTGCTAAAGTCTGCAATCTAAACAGACAAGTCAATGGTTGGAGAAATTAGGCAGCAGAGGGTAAATCTGTAAAGGTATTAAATGTTCTTTAAATTGTAAACAGGTACCAAACGGCTCTTGTTCAGCACTACAGTGGATAAATATCCCTGCAAATTAGAGAAGAAAAGTGAATGGACACAAGCACAGAGGTGAAAAATTTAAAACCACACAAGACATTCATCACATCAACAAATTATTTTCTTTTTAATTATAATATTTAATTCAATTTCTTTAGTTGAACCAAATACTTGTATGTTTCATTGTTAATGATCTAGATAAGGTATTCTGAATTTTTAATTAATATATTTCACTTGATATTTTGCTTTCCTATTCGTACATCATTTTTCTAGTCCTGCTTTAGTTATGCTTCAGTAATACTATTAAACCAAATCAGTGCCAGTGAATTCATGCCCGTTATTGTTGATCTGACTGAATCAACTACAGGACAATTTAGCTAATGGTAACTACCAGATACTGGGTCCTAAGAAGTCTCCATGGTCTACACAAGGCAATTCATTTGAAGTGCTGGAATTCTGAGCAAGAAAATACACTCATACCACTGTCTTGGTGAGGAACAGAAATTAAAACTTCCTTCATATCCCTAAGCTATACTAACTCCAAATCCTGACCAATATTTAAATATTGGCTTAATATCACAACACACAATAATCAGAAAAATTGGAAGAAATTGAATACTTTAAGACTAAACAACAATGCAGTCAATTCAAACAAAGAACACCTTTCTTCAGGAACTCTTCAGGAAAAATATTTCAGGCCAAAGTTCTGCTATGGGCAAAACCCAGTTGTGTTGCTTCATGGCAAGCAGTCTACAAGACTGTTCAAAAGAGATTTTGTTCAAAGAAAAAAAAAAAATTCCAAATAAGTTGTTCAGTCCTCCAGGACATGCTTGAGCATAGAACCATTTGAATAGGAAAGGTTTCAAACAGTGAGTGGGAAAGCAAGAGTCTCATTAAGTATTAATAAAGTTAGTCTGATAAAATTATCTGATAAAATCTTCAGTAAAAGGTACGTCTCCTTCCCTATTTTACTGGAAGATCTTCATGTCAGAAAACGTTCCTCTCCGGGGGGGGGGAACCTTAAGCACGTTTCCTCACCCACTCTAAAATTTTCATCTCACAGTACTCCCATGCAAATAATATTTAATTCTGGGACATGAAACACCACATTTCCTTAGACGGGGGTGTGAAAAGTTGAGGTTTTTTTTTTTTTCCCCCCTCCTAATTATTTGTGATCACTTAGAGACGGCCTCAAAATTATCAGCGAGAGGCCCCATTAAATTGGCAAGTTTTCTTCATCTCTGCACAGCCCACTAAGCCTGGAAAAGTTTTGCGGCCTTTACCTGAGGAAAACAGAGTGGGACCCCCTCACCCCTAGGGAGGTCACCT